TGAAGGGACCGAGTGCCCAGACATCGTCGTGTGAGAGGTAGCGTCCGATGTAACCTATAACCTCGACTGCATCATGTCAGCAACACCATCGCGAAGAAGGATGGCTATGCAATCTTACATAGACCTCCAATCACTAGTGGTGCGAAGTACCACGTCTTTCTTCTGATGAATTGGAAGATGTGCAAGAAGGTGGTAAGGCCGAATGCGACGACGAAGATGATTGCCGCTATCCGGTTTGGGATGTATCGGTATAGAACGTAGGCGGTTGGGTCGTCAAGCGCTGGGCGGTATGGTTCGGTGTCGGACATGTTTATTTGAGTTGGAGACGAACGCAGGTAATGCGTCCTCGAATGCAGGTGTGACCATTCTCAAAGTGGGCTTCTCGAACGTTTTAACAACAATTGCGTATCGCTCCTCGGACAAGCCGTCAAGCTAAGGATGCGTTCGCGTCCTGGCTGTACGGAATACGTGATGCGAAATACGCTGCCAAGAGCGCTTGCCGAGCCGAGACGTTTTTTTGCGGGCCCCGTATCGGCCGTATGGCTTCTGCCGCACTAGTGGGTCGATTTGGGGGTTAAATCGTGCGGCACCCCGTCCAATACGGCGTATCAACAACTGCAGTGCCTCGTTGAGATTGTGCGAATTGCACAGCCTCTCGCGAGCTTCGCAAGCTTCGCCATTTATTTGGTCCCATATTAGTGATCATTGCGATAAGACTTCGCCAAAACAACCCACGACTTTAGGCCAAGAGCTGGTTTGCCAAAGGACAAGCACACCCGGTAAGACTCACTCCCCGCGATAGGATACAATGAGTTACTGGCTGCGACGCCAAAATGGATACAACTCGGTGTAACTCAGATCCTCACGAGGCTGTCGGAGTGGTCGTCGCGCTCCCGGCTTGAGCATGAATGATCTGTTGCGGCCAGTCGAGCCATTTTAGGAGATCTGGTGTCGCTGCTAGCAATTGTTCGCAGGCAGCAAGAAGCCATTGGGGCCACTTTACCACCCACCATACCGGGCGACATTGGGCCAGCATTGCTGCAAAATGGGTCGTGATGATGCATGTCACAGGGTTGTGAGCTGCAAGGAGATCGAAGAAATGGGTCTCCAACCTCGCAGGCCAAAGAAAGAGAAGGGAGTACTCGTCGCGATCGGGTGATATGTGCCGGAACCGGAGCCAGGTCGCGTTGAGTGCGTCGATAGCTGTAGCGCAGGCCTCCTTGTCTTGGCTATCCAGTAGGAGTTCCGTGAGTTCCTTCAGTCGAAGAATCTCTTGAGGGTTCTCCTCCCTTGCGAGCGTGTCCAACGCATCTAGCGCTTCCGGAGACGCCATATCTGTCATATGAGCAAACACCGAGCTGTCTTTGATTTGGTCCCAGTGAGGTATCACCACAACCTTGATGCCTTGCAATAACATGAAGCAGTGGTGGAGAGCGCGAATGGGATCTTCGGGGCGTTCAAGCTGCGCCGAACCGAAGTTGTAAGTCAAGATTATCGAAGACAGCATGAACATCGGAATTGCCAGCTCAACGTTCGGCGTCTCCAGATTCTTTCGGTAAGTGTCCAAGGCTCGACTGATGTGGGAATCTGCCTGGAGCAAAAGACTCTGCCGCTCATTGGGTGGAAGCAAGGATGCTTGATGGACTGCCGAAAGGGCGAGAAAACCACGAAGAAGGAAAGGATAGTCGAAGCCTAATTCAATGAACTCGTTCTGCAGAGCGACACGGTTAGTTCAACAATTCCACATAGTCTATCGGAGTAGACCAGTCTTACCTGCCAGACGACACTTCTAGTTGCGGGATTTGGATGCAAGGATTTGGCGCACGCCTTTGTCCAATGATGCAGCAGACGGAGGTCTGCGAGTGGTAGCTCGGAACTGGCGGGACTTGCTTCGGGACTTTCAGCATGATTTGTATCCACAAAGGGTGAGGACACGCCTGGACTGTGTTGCGGGGAGGTCGAGTAGCTATCCGGTATTGCTGGGAAATGGCAATGGATATCCAGGCGGACACAGTTCCCACAGCGCGGGCGCGCTTCATTGCACTGTACGACATGGTAAGCGACGACACGGATCACTGCAGAAGAGCCATAGCTTCGGATGCTCATAGCACTTGAGCTCTATGCGCCGGGTAGATACAGAAAATCGCACAGCACACGGTGATTGGCTGGTGAAGACGGAAGCTGCATCGAAGGTGAACACCTACTTTAGTATGTCTCTGCTTGCATTGGAAGCATCCTTTTCGCGACTTTGTGTGAGTCTTGCGCTTTGCGACGCGCTGTTCCGGCATAGTGGCGACAGCGAGATGGGTATATGAGTGCAATTGAGATGCACGATGCAGGTGATTTGGGCTGGGCGGCGGAAGATCTTCGGTTATGTAAGCCGCTAGCGAGCGACTGGCGTGGGCATTTCCCCGCGGATGTCCGTTTGGCCCCTTGCTTGCATTTCAGCTTGCTGAGGCACAGCACCAAACACCTGCTTTGTGACTTGCACCGCCGAATCAAGACGCGAGAGAATTCAAAATGAGAAGAAAATGACGTTGTCAAATATCGGTTGTATACTCCACTACGCCGGACTCCGAGAGACAAACCCCATCCCTGTTCGTGGAAGTCTGAACGCCTTCAAATCCAGATTAAAACATTTCGCGCCGGCTCAGCTACAAGACACAAGCATCGTGTCCACCCACATCAGTTCCAGTTCCTGAACTCCGCCTGCGCGTCGGCGTTGCGCCATCCGATGTTCTCCCTGCTTGCTTCCTCCAGGGCAGTTGGCTTCCTCGTCGCTTGAGCGCCTGCGGGCGACGACTTCCTTGGCTGGTTAAGACGCTTATCCAGGGCCGCTTGCTGGTTTGCGCGCATCTTTGGGCTTGTCAGCGTTGCAAGTATGGTCGAACACCAAGACCATACCTCAGCTTGGAGCTTTGCGCGCTCTTCTTCGCTAAGCTGCGGCTCTGGAGGTCGCTGCGATGCTGACGGCTGAGACTGTTCTTGACCCATGATCTCGTTGAACGACACGTGATTTAAGGATGGTATGGACTTCTTTGAAGTCGATGTAGACTCTAAACGAGACTGTGGGGCCTGTTGTTGTTATATGCTGACTGCATACCAAGCTTAGGCCACCGACTGTACGGCACGGTCGTCCCTTCAGGCAACAACGCCAACGGCACTGCCACACCATGATCCTCAATACCACAGCCTTGTGTTCGACGTACAATTTGCCTGAAACACATTTGTTTAGGCTGTGCAACTGGTGGGGAAGTTGTCGTTGTAGGTATTAGAACGCAAAGTCATGTGCGGATGCAGCCTTTCTCAACCATGGTACAGGTTTGAGTCAAACTTGCTCTATATTTGAATTTTTCACCACTTCTATTCCGATGCTAAACTACATCATAATATACAGTTGCGATCACACCGATACCAACACTAATTCTGGAATACCTTTATCATGTCAAACACCAACAACCCCTACCGCTGCATTGGCAAGGGTTTTTGCGGCAGCGTCTGGGCTGCTGAAGATGGCACGAATCATGCCATCAAACGCGAAGATGGAGGACCCGGACGATCTGTCACAAATGACTACAACATGCATCTGCAAATCATTCGGAGCGCAAACCAACATCGTCCTTCAATGCCTCTGGCCATACCACAGTGTCAGTCGTTGATATACTCGAACAATATGTGGTGGATCGAAAACCTCCACCGCTTCCCTGCCGGCTTCACAGAGTGTAGAGCGCTCATATCGGAACGCATCCCCAAGATACCTCGATCTATCAGCGACAAGATCGTAGACCTGTTCTGCGCAGACAACACGCCACTCTCGGCTTTTGTGAAAGGGAATGAAGACGACGACTGCTGTCTTATTCGTCCCTACTTGGGGCGACGAAGAGAGCGCGAAGCAACAAACACATCGCGCTTCCAGCGGTTCAGTCTCAGGAACGTTCCATTACATATCAATCAGATGGAAGACCTCGGCCTTGATTACGTCGCCTACGCGCAGACTATGGCGGATGCGCTTGCTATGATGCACTGGGGCGCCAAAGTCGATGCCAATGACGTCGAGTTCGTGCTTGCACCTCCGCGAGCCTCATCAACACGAACATCATTCCCATCACACTATCTTGGCAAACACGTCATGTGGATTTTAGACTTTGACTGTGTGAGACACATGTCTATGGACGAAGCTGGGCTGAAGCAGGCGTGCGCAGCGTTTATGAGGAATGACCCTTTCTACCCACGGCCGGACAGCACTGAGACTGCTGACGGAGCGTTATGGTGGTTCTTTAGACAGAGGTTTTTAGCGACTAGTGCGGAGATATTGGGAGATGGGTGCCCACATGCGGGTTTGCCACGGAGACTGATGGAGATGATTGAGGAAGAGGGCTGCAAGCGACGGAAGAAGAAAAAAGAGCTCCAAGAGCGGGATGAAGATACGGAACAGGACTAGAATTAACCGGGGTGTGTTTGCCAGGAACGTATATCCAGCTCAATGTACTTCCTCCTCGAAGACTTGAGATATTTCAAACGACGATGTTAGATAGCTTCAATACAACATCGGGTGCTATCTCTTCTTTAAGATCTCAACTACGTGTCGGCATGCGTACCTTGTTCTACGCCACATGGGTATGCGTAAACTAGTTTTTGGCGTACATCCCTTCCTAAATGGCATATCATAGTACTACTATTCTTCGTGAAGCATACGACGACCGTGAATGTGTTTTAGCATTATTTGGTCTTCGGGAGTTATATCTGCTAGTCGTCAAAGTCGCAGGTTGATGCTCTGGTGGCCTTCTACTAAAAGTGGTAGTTCGCACAGCAATCTCCCAAGGTAAGAAGAAATGCAAAAAGCAAAGTACAGTCTTATGAGCAAAAGTGGGTCTGCGGATATACCCCGCCATCGCTCTGGGCGCTCATGGCCGAGATTCTACATCCATGACGGTCAAAAAGATCATTCAACCTCATTTTCGAACGCAAAAAGAATGGCAAAAAGAGCAAAACAAGCTGCTTGACACGAGTGGGGTTCGAACCCACGCACATTTCTGTAGTAGAGATCCAAGCAGGGCTTAAATCTACCGCCTTAGACCACTCGGCCATCGTGTCTGATGGAGAAACTGGACAAATTTTGGAGATACAACGTTTATATACCAAGGATCACAAGCGATAAGCCATTCTGTAAGCATGAGCAGAAGGATTTGGTGATGTTTGTTATCTTTGTCGTGGTGCGGGGTAGTAGAGGGGCAGGTCAACCGTGGTAGAACATCGACTTTGCGGCGTTGAAGCGGTGTTGAAGCGAATACAGTATCGACTGGAGAACGAATAAGACGAGATAGTGATTACTTCTTCACCATCTTTCTCGAAACACACGAATAGATACATCAGGCCAAACGAGTGCATTAGTTAGAACCGTGCCCTAGTTATCCCTATCATGTACAAATCCATAAACAGCACTAGACTATATACACCCCAATTATTGCATCCCGATCCAGACCACAAGAACCTAAAAGCTCAATACACTACATCTTCATCTCTGATATCCCCGTCTATGCAACCCATCGCTTACCCAGAGTCTGCGCCGCCTTCGCATCATCAGGGTTGTTCTGAGCTAGCGCCGAAAGAATAGACGCAACATCATCCTGACGCTTCTCGATATCGCGACGCGCAGCGGCCGCAGCCTCAGGGTCGACCTCGGCGAGCGCGTCAAGGCAGTGAGCTGCATCGTCCTGGCGCTTCTCGACGTCGCGGGTCTCGATGTCGCGACGGGCAGCTGCAGCGGCCTGGGGGTCGACTGCGGCGAGATCATCGAGGCAGTGGGACACGTCCTGGCGCTTGGTAACGGACTTGGGGGTGGAGCTCATAGCGGGAGCAGCAGCGGCGGCGTCATCGGGGTTGTTCTGCGCGAGGGCGGCGAGGATGGAGGCGACGTCGTCTTGACGCTTCTCCATGTCGCGGATGTCGATGCTGCGGCTCTTGATGTCGCGGCGGGCTGCTGCTGCGGCCGCGGGGTCGACCTGCGCGAGGTTGTCGAGGCAGTGGGATACGTCGTCCTGACGCTTGGTGGTGGATGTAGAAGACATGGCCTGCTTGGCTGCGGCGGCGTCGTCGGGGTTGTTGGCCTCGAGCGCGGCGAGGATGGAGCTCACGTCGTCCTGACGGCGGAGCTTGACCTTCATGGCTGAGGCGGCGGCATCGGCATCTTCGGGGTTGTTCGTGCGGAGAGCCTCGAGGATGGAGGCAACGTCGTCTTGGGGGCTGGCTGGGATGTGTTAGGTGGGTGTCCAACGAAGCATACTTCTTCATGCTTATCAAGACCTACCGGTAGCGAAGACGGCGCTGGAGAAAGCAGCAACGGCGACAAAGGCTGTGTAACGCATGTTTGCTGATTGGGGTTTGGAAATATTGGTAGTGAGAGTAGATTGAAATGGAGTAGAAGTGACCGGCACAGATATTACAAGATGATAGTACTGATAGGATGTTATTTGCTCAAATCAACTCAAGAAGACATCGAGCCCTAAATACCACAGTCCGGAGAGGTGATACCCGCACCGCCAAACATCTAAGCTTCGCCGCGTCAGATGCGGAAGCTTATCACGAAACTTACCTTACCTAGTTTCACGGTCTTGGTACGAGCTGAGTAAGAAGATGCACCATTGCAGTGTTCGAATGCATTGCATGTTCCGCAGTCGGCAAGGAAGAGTGCGGTTGTTTGGTTTCCGATGTCCGGTCCTGGGAGGCGGGTTGGAGCGTTCACGTATCGTGTTTCGGAAACAGCCTCACCATCTACCCAGACGCAGATCTGAAACAACGCAGCCTCGGTATCTCTATACGACTTGCGCAGCAGCTCTTGCTTCTTCTGTGACCGTAGCAAGTATCACGTTGATCTGGGACCAAACGCGGAGGCTCTGGAGACGTGCGCCGCGCGGACTTTAACATGCGACGCTGCGTGCTGATCTGCTCATGGCTAGCCACAGCATCGATTTGCCCAGATAATCGCCATGTATTTGGCCCATTGTATCCTCATAGTCTCTACCATTGCTTCTCATGCGAGATAGTGTATTACGCGCGTGTTTCGATCGGGTGATGGCCGTAGTGACGTGCGGAATTCGGGGAGGCTGGGATCGCTTTCAACTCGGGGAGCTCCAAGCCGTGTCAACTGTGCATTCGATTCTATCAACTGACAGTCAGCTTGGTGGTTCAAAGTAATGTCGATAAACTCCTACCTAGTGTCCGTTGCTTCCATCGTGCCGCGGGTTGTCTAACAACAATGGGAACACGGTCACCATCTCACCCATACGATATGCGCTCATAGATATCCAGGTACACCGGCAACAGGCCTTGAGTAAGTTCCAGAGTCAACGAATCTCTGTCTGTTCGTTCTCCAGCTTGCGCTCACGGTAGCGGGTCGTACCGAGGCAGCCTCAAAATCGCGGGGTTCTGGGGTAAACCATTCCAATGTCGCACTGGCAACCTACGGCAGGTCAGATGAACTATTCAGTAGTCAACGAGCGTCAAGTCGAACATCGACATCAGGGTGGGGTGGGAGCCTTGAACACCTACAAGCCTGAGAGCGAGCTCGAGCGAAAGCTTGGCATGACCAAGTCTCAATATCGGACAGCTCGAACAGCAGTAGCTCATCACGGAACGTGGCACGGGTATTGACAAGCGTCGGCATTGGTTTGGAGGGTCCATTCGAGTCCATTGAGTTCAACGTCAGTCATCCGCACATGTCATTACCATAGCTACAGCTTCCGCACATATACCTGGGTAAGGAAAGCGAGCCGTGGTGGTAGCTTGCTCTTCAGATTGCTCGTCTAAAGTACATGTTTTACACAATCTGACCGGCCACTAGAGTAGGAAAAGAGGTAGTAGTCGTCCCTATGCACACACCCATCCGCAAGAAAAGTTTTCCACCTTGCGGCACCCCCATACCGTTGACCCCAAATGTCCGGCAGTCCATGCAATGCACACATCTATGCGACGTAGAGGAGCAAGAAGGACATCATGAGCGCGAAAAGACCAGTGGCCTCAGCGAAGGCGAAACCGAGAACGGCGTACTGGAAGAGCTGACCCCTGAGGGAAGGGTTGCGGGCAACACCCTGGATGAGACCACCGAAAACCGTTCCGATACCGACACCGGCACCGGCAAGACCGATGGTAGCGAGACCGGCACCCTGGATCTTGGCGGCAGCGACCATGGCGGCAGCGGTGGACTCGGCGACGATGCCACGCTTCTGGATGACGTTGCGGGCGGCGTTGTTGCGGAAGGCGCTGCGGGCAGCGACGAGGGTGTTCTGCTGGGGAGCGCGGGCTGCAAGATGATGGTCAATGGCTGCTTGATGAGCTTGCAGAGCTCAAACCCAATGGCTTAAGCTGCTGCGGCAGGCGCGAGACATACCAGCGTTGGAGAAGCCACGGGCGGCCACGCGGGCGGCGCCGAAGGAGCGAGCGATGGCAACCATGGTGATGGTATTGACGGTCGGAGTGGAGATGAGTTGGAGATGAATTGGTCCTTCAATGGATGGGGAGTGGTGGGAGGAGGATGGAGGAGGTGGATGCAAAAACTCGCTGAAGGGTTGATTAGCCGCCAAGAGTCCGTGCGGGAGCTCACATCGGGTTAGCGCTCCCCGTTTACTCCCGACAACCTTTACCTCGTCGACCGTCGTGAAGTCTTTGAGAGTGGTAATGACTTCTTCTCGCTGCTTATAGTTCTTTCAAGTCCGGTGGAGATGTCGGAGGATTCTTGAGAGCCCGCCGTCTTTACAGAGTTTGCAATCGCTCTGCAACCGCTCCACAAACATTCCCCTCAACCGACACAACCGATCTTAGAGGTACCACGGCATGATTACATTAATGCACATCTGAACGTAATATTTCATGCGAGTATGAACACGAAGCCTAGTCAAACCATGCAACAATCTTAGTAGAGATCTTTCTCTCTTGTGTATGGACTCCGACACGTTGTTTATATTGGCTCTGAATATCACCTGTGGGGTACAGATAAGATGCCTAAACACTGCAAGGACTGTGTAACACCTGCTAGCGATGATTATTCTGGTCAATTCGAAGAGTTCGGAAAAACTGGTATAGCAAGGCCAAAGTCAAAGCATTCAAGTATGACGTTCGCGAGACTTCACAAAGTGTCACCAGATAAGTGATGGGTAGTAACCAGATGATACATTTTGCATGACACGCTCATGAAGCAACTATGATGTGTACACCGACAAGAACATAGTTCATCTTGTATACATGTTCGCCTAATGAAACATCATGCTATGTAAACGGCAAGCAATATAATCTTTGGTATCCGGTGGTGTAAGTCAATCGGTCAAAACTATTAGAGCTCATCACGGATGTCACCGCACACAATCTCTCTCCCGAAAGACACTCAAGAAATAATTGTAGTGCTCACATCGAATTCAACGACGAAAGCTATTCCCATATAAGACTTTTGGTAAACATGACCCTTCCCACCTCATCCCATCCATGCCCACCATCTACCCATCCAACCATCCCATCCATATCGGCCGTAACAGCCCACCGCATCTCCTCGCATCAGCACTTGGTATCGGACTCAAAAAAGAAAGATTACAATACAGTCACAGCCCCGAAGGACCATGATAAGAAGTGGTATCGGACATTAGATGGTCGTAAAGACCGAGCGCAGAGCAGACGTCGACGCCCAACTCTCGTCGCAGGGAGATCACAGCAGGTGCGACTCGATCACTCCCCGCATGCGTGAAACAGTCATTAGTTGATAAAAGGAAACGCCTTGTCAGGAAACAGTTGTGCTTATTCGACCATTGCGCTAATGGGCGTGCCAGCGCGGCTCTCGTCCACGAATTCGCTCATCTTCATCTTCTTGTGTCGCGGGCTCTCGGCCTCGATCTCGTCCAGTCGCCTCTTCAGGTCCGCTTCTCGCTGCTTGGTCTCTTCGAGCTCTTGCCTCAGGGTTGATTCCGTCTGTCGTGCTGACTGCTCGCTCTGTTCGAGTTCGCTAACACGGTTGCGGAAGAGGTCGTTGATGAGCTCCATCTCCGAGACGCGTGTCTTGAGCGCAGTGTTTTGAGCGGCAAGGGTCTCGTACGGGAGAGGGGCTTCGAGGT